CAACACCCACCTAGTTCCGAGTGAACGAGGGGATGTGGAGGTCGCGCAGGACACCAGAAGGGACCACAGGGCACGGGAGGGTTGTGGAATTGCGTGCAACGGCTGGTCCTGAAGAAGGATCAGCCAGAGCTACCAGAACCGGAGCAAGGAGTGGTGTGAGGGTCATGTGGTCGCGGAAGAAACACTGCGACACGCCAGAGTCCAGCATGAACAACAGAGATGCCTTAGCCGGAGGTGTGTCAGGTCCGGAGGCTACACAAGCACCTAGAGCAGAAACACAAGCACCTAGACTAGAGAGGCACAGGTCTACACTAACAGGAGGCAAGCGTCCTAGACTACGAACACGCGAGCACACAAATCCATTAGCACTGTAGTCAACATCAGCATACAGAGCATACTGACGAGCATCGTCCATAGACTATTCAATGTAAATGAATGAGGAATGAAGAAGAGAGGGTTGCACTAGAAGCAGTTGGCATACATATAGGAAACCCTAATTGAGTTGTACTCGCTATAGAGTACCCCACTGCAGGCTAGACAATTATAACATTCTGACACACCCCCATAGCCAAAGTGGGGTGTAATCAGCACAATGAGCAAGCAGGCATAGAGCAGGAGTTCACAATAGCGAGCAAAGCTAGAGTTAATCACAGCGGGCAAGTGAGGAGGAGGAGGAACTGTGGAGGGAGAGAAGATGGGAGGCAACGACTGAAGCTGCAGAGGCACGGGCACAGGAGCGGCTGACTCAGTGGCTACCGAAGCAAGGGCGACGGACTACTGGAGTAACGGGCTCCGCGGCTATAGACGAGCGGCAGGAGCAACGGACCCACTGGCGACTGGTGCAACAGGCTCACTGGCTACTGAAGCAAGGGCGACGGACTACAGGCGCTGCAGGCAACACGACAGCTACCTTCATACAGCCTCCCCCAGCTGCCCCACACCCCTTGACATACACCCCCTGCTCAAACCCTAGTTCCACTCCCACAGCACCCCCCTTTCACACACCCCCTGCTGCACCCTAGGTTCACTCACACCCCACCCCCTAGCACCACTCCGTCGACTCCCACACACCCACCCCCCTCAGCGGCAGCTGCAGCAGTGGGAGACAGAGGAGGAGGAGGAGCAGGGGAGACCACACACCCGCCACCCCCTACTCGCCACCCTCAAACCCTAACACAGGGCAGGGCCGGGCGACGGGTAGGGAGGTTACGGGGGGGGGGGGGGGGGGGGCGACGCGCGGCCTCCCAGGGCGCCAAAACAGGCGGCAGAAGGGGCGACGCTCGCCCCCCCCCTTGGTCGCGGCCCCCCAGGGAGCCGCGGCGGGCGACGGGAAAAGAGGGGGGGGGGGGCGGTGCACGGGCCCCCGGTGCGCCGCGACAGGCGACGAAGCATGGCCGGGGCGGGGGCGGGGCAGGGTCGAGGCAGGGCCGAAAGGGGCGGCGACAGGGCCGCAAGTGGCGGCGACGGGGCCGCTGGAGGCGGCGATGGGGCCGATTGGGGCGGCGACGGGGCCGCGAAGGGGCCGCGAGGGGCCTGGAAGGGCGGCGACGGGCCGCTAGGGGCGGCGACGGGGCCACGAAGGGGCCGCGAGGGGCCTGAAAGGTCGGCGACGGGGCCGCAAGGGGCGGCGACGGGGCCGCTGGAGGCGGCGACGGGGCCGATAGGGGCGGCGACGGGGCCGCGAAGGGGCCGCGAGAGGCCTGGAGGGTCGGCGACGGGGCCGTTAGGGGCGGCGACAGGGCCGCGAAGGGGCCGCGAGGGGCCTGGAAGGGCGGCAACGGGGCCGCGAAGGGGCCGCGAGTGGCCGAGAAGGGCAGCGACAGGGCCGTGAGGGGTGGCGACGGGGCCGCTAAGGGTCGCGCGAGTGGCACGCCACGGGGCGTGCAGCACACAAAGTAGCAGCGGAAGCAGTTGGGTGGGCCCACAGGTCAGGAGCGTAGATGCGCTGATACCATGTTAGAATCCCAATCACTAGACCATTGGGATAAAAGGGCTTGTTAAGTAGCGGGTCAATGCGCCCATAACCCCCCAGGACAACGAGCCTGTAACCCTTCCCTAGGATCAATCGGGGATCACCAGTGGACCTCTGACACCCCCCCGCACTGGGATGCCCGAAGTGCACACACTGGGATTCGAACCCGTGACCTTCGCTCTGATACCATGTGAATAAATGAGGAATGAAGAAGAGAGGTTTGCACTAGCAGCAGTTGGCATACATATAGGAAACCCTAATTGGGTTGTACTCGCTATAGAGTACCCCACTGCAGGCTAGACAATTATAACATTCCGACATTCAAATACATGAATCTTACGGGCTAGCAGGCGAGTCCAGCGCGGGGTGGTCGCCTCAAGACCCCAGCGCGCACGGTAGAGGTCGTCGAGGCGGCAGAAGCACCGCACCGCAGAGTGGTCGTCACAGCCGCAGACACAAGGACCGCCCGGTCCGGTGACGCACCAGTGGTCGTAGTGGCCAATGTCGCGCCGCGGGGGGCGGGGGGCCTAGGTGGTAGTGCCGCTACTGCGGCCAGTGCTCCCGGGTCCTCCAAGTCCTTACTGTGGCGGAGGGCCCCAGTGCTGCTGCGGACCCCATTGTAGTGGGGGTCCCCACGACTGAAACTGCTGTGGTGCCTGCCACTGTTGCTGTTCCTGCTGCTACTGCTGTCTCTGCTGTGGCTGCTGCTGCTGGGGCCCCGCACCACCGCTGGGCGAACCTCCTCCAGCATGCGGGTCAGCACCTCCTCCAGAGCTCCCTCCGCCTGGTGCACCACCACCACCACCACCACCACTGCCGCCCCCAGGGCCGCCTCCACCACCGCCACCTCCTCCACCGCCGCCACCCCCCTTCCCCCCTTTCTTGCCTCCCTTGCCCCGTTTCTCCTGTCAGCAGCAGAAACAGTTGCAGTGTCCTCAGAGACCGACTCAGCAGCAAAGGGACGAGCAGCAGTGAAGGTAGGAAGATGGGGGACAGCACACCCCTCAAACAGACGAGGAGCAACTGCGTCAGTGGTTGAGGCAACGGAGAGGAAGTTACTCTCGATCTTCCTGAGAGTGGTCTCGAGGAAATCAATCGTCAGCTCACTGGGGTGCTGCTGGAGAAGTGCGTCACGGGCAGTGGAGAGGTAAGACAGTGGACGGTGAGCCAGATAGGAGGAGGGGCAACAAGAAGCTGAGCCTCAGTGCAAGCTCCTCGGTGGCTATCGACAAGGGAGCGCAAGTGTGTGGCTAGGTCGGAGACAGTCGCAAACAAGCCGAGGTCGGGAAACACGAACGGCATGAGGATGCGGGTGAGGGAGGCAGAGGAAGGGATGGAATAGCGTGCAGAAATAGCATCATACACCACCTTTGCAGTCTCTATCAAGTCGAAATGATCGGCCTCAGTCGGTGGAAGGAGCTCAGTCTGCGCGAGTGCAGCCGCAGTATCACGGGAGTCCCAAACGTCCTGCGCCAAGACGAAACGAGCGTAGTCCGCCTGCGCCTCCGGAGTCAGTGGGGGCACGGCAGGGAGGGGCTCGGGACGCGGGGGTGCCTGGAGGGCGCCGGACGCGTGGGTGTACAAGGTGGCGCCGTCGAGGCGCTGACTGGTGAGGTAGCGCTGGATATGGCGGAGCCAGGTGCCGAACTCTATCGGCGGGAGTCCATAGGGCAGAGCGCGGCTCAGGGCAGGGCGCGGCCTAGGGCTAGGGCACTGCTGAGGGCGAGGTCGCGGCCTAGGGCGAGGGCGCGGCTTAGGGCAGAGCGCGGCCTAGGGCGCGGGTTGGGGCTAGGGAGAGGGCGCGGGTTAGGTCACGGGCGAGGGCGACGGGTTAGGTCGCGGGCTGGGGCGACGGGCTGGGGCGCGGGCTGGGGTGACGGGCTGGGGCGTGGGTTGGGGCGACCGGCTAAGGTGCGGGCAGGGGTGACGGGCTAGGGCGCGGGCTGGGGCGACGGGCTAGGGCTTGGACGCTGGCGAAGGAGCAAGCAAGGCGCGGAGGGCGCTAGGGCGCGGAGGGCGCGGAAGCCGCGGAGGGATCTAGGGCGCGGAGGGCGCGGAGGGATCTAGGTCGCGGAGGGCACGGAGAGTGCGGAGGGCACGGAGAATGCTAGGGCGCGGAGGGCGCGAACACGGGCTAGGCTAGGCTAGGAAATGAACCTAACTGATACCATCTCAAAGTAGGAACACACACAACGGGATGGATGAACTAGGGAAACAAGGGAAACAAATGGCAACCGTATAGTGTTGTACTCTCTAGAGTGCTACTCACTGTAGCTTAAGAACCTATAATAACATTTGACAATGGTTAACACTTGTATGGTACTACCGTATTGGATAACTGAAAACAAACGGGATGGTACCAGTTCAATGTGTACACGCATGTCATATAGTGTTATATTTGTGGCATGAGCTAGATATGGGCAAACCATTCCACAAAAAAAGTGGCACAATGATTGCTGGGCAGCTGGAGGTGATGATAGCGGCGGCGGTGGTGGTGGTAACGGCGACTGGGTGTGATGGAGTACGGCCGTAACAGTGACACGAGGCTAGTGTGGTTCGCTTTGCAGCAACCCAAGTGGGTGGAGTGTGAGGAGCACGGAGAGAGCCCACACAGCTGCAAGGGAGAAGAGAGCTGCCCACACGACTTGGCTCGACCAGTGATGTGCAGACAAGGGCATAGATACAAACAGCGCGGCAGACAAGGGCCAGTGACGAGGGCTGTGCAGCACACCGGCGCAGGCTGGTGGTGGCCAGAGAGCACTCGGGGTAAAAACGGTGCGTCCATGTGGTGCCAACTGTAGACCCTCAGGTGCTTCATGCACGCCCCTGCTCTCCCGCATGGCTGCCTCGCACCATGCCGCTGCTGCATGTGGCGCTTTGGAGCGAGATGGTTCTTAGTGAAGGGGTGTGTGAGCGAGGGAGCGAGGCAGTTAGTGAATTTGGCATGTGCGAGGCAGGTGGCACCAAAGCATGTGCGAGGCAGGTGGCACCAAAGCAGCGACATCGGAACAGCAGCAGAGAAGCAGGTTCAGTCGGCTTCAGAGAGCGCGGAAGACAATACAGCGGCGATTCTGATGATGGGCAAGAGGCATGCAGCACACAGAGAGGCACACGTGCACAGCACACACCATACAGACACACAGGTGCATGCATACATGGACAGAGATGGAAACAGACGGTGGCACATACACGGGCGAGACGAGGTGGGTCAACCAGCCTGAAAGTACGAGTGCGAGGATACAACAACAATCAATCTCTGTGGTACTTACGTGCAGAGCAGGCAGTGCGTGCAGAGCAGGCAGTGCGTGCAGGGGCAGTGGGGCGATGAAAACAAGAAAGCACGATGCTCCAGGTTTTGACAGCATGGGTCACGAGGGGAGCAATGGGTAGGGGCGGAGGAGGCAGCGTGCGGGGCAATGGAGGGGGAAGCGGAGGGGGCAATGAAGGGGCGATAAAATGGGCAGCATAGGGCACTGACCTCAGGGAACTCCGCATTGCCATCGCCACGGACCAATCGCGTCATGCCACGTGGGCCACTGCCCAGCTTGACCATCATCTGGGCAAACTCGAGTGTGAAGCACGCCCCACTGTATTGCTGCCCGCGCCGCACACAGGCACGAGCGCCCATGCAGGCAAGGGCGATTGGAGAGAGTTAGGCCAGGCAACGGTGGTTGACTTGACTGCATTGACTGGCACGGATGAGTGGTATGAGTGGCACGAGTGGTATGAGTGGCACGAGTGATCAACTGCACTGACTCACAGCGAGCTGCAGCAGCGAGAGGGCCTTGCCGGCGATGCGCACGCCATTGCTGGAAGCAGATGGGGAGACCAAGGAGAAGGCCGGACACGACGGCAGGCGCAGCTGCACACATGGACCATGGCCATGGCGCCCCGCAGGGGAGAGGGGGAGAGAGAGCGTGGCAGGCAGCGGGTGAGCGGGGGGTCGTGGAAGTGAGGCGGGTACCAAGGGAGCAGTGGGAGTGGAGGGTGGTGGAGAGTACGAGGGTGGTGGAGCAGGGGTGAGGAGAGGAGTGCGGAAATCAAGATGTGGGAAACAGGTGTGTGGGGAAGAGGTGTGTGGGGAAGAGGTGAGTGGGGAAGAGGTGTGTGGGGAAGAGAGAGCGCAGGGAGGAATGCGCAATGTGAGAATGTGATGGGGGGCAGCACGGCTATGTGGGGATGGTGTCGCGATGTGGGGATGGTGGCGCGATGTGGCATGGGAAAGGCAGGTAGGCGAGGGCGACTGACAGCAAGGGTGTTGAGGGCGCGGCAGGTCTGCAGAGACGCGGACACCACGGGGCGACTGCCCGCCCTGCCATGCCATGCCATGGCCACGGTGCACGTGGGGTGGGTGGTACGGGGGGGAGAACACGGCGAGTGTGCGAGTGAGTGGGAGGGCCAGTGAGTGTGATGGGAGTATATGCGTGGGGGTGAGTGCATGAGTGTCAGAGGGGATGTAAGAAAGACCGAGAGTGAATGCATGAGGATGTGGGTAAGAGAGAGTGGTGCGTTCGTGCGCGCACGCGAGGGAGGGGAGGAGATGAGGGGGGCGCGAAGGGGAGGCGGAGAGGAGGGGCGCGCGAGGGGTAGGCGGAGAGGAGGGGCGCGCGAGAAGGAGGCGGAGAGGAGGGGGCGGTTGAGGCTTGTGGGGCGGACTTGTGGAGGATGGCGGCGGAGATGGGCTGGTCGGGGCGCATGGCGACGAGCGGCAGGATGGGCGCCAGCGACGCCGACCGGTTGAACACGAAGTCGCACGCCTGTGGTCGCATGGGGGTGCATGGGGGTAGGGGGATTGAAACACGGCAGGTGAGGTATGGAGAGGTGAGGAAATGACATGTGCCGTGGCGGCATGTGCGAGCAAGGGGCATGTGCGAGCACGGGGCATGTGCGAGCACGGGGCCATGTGGACAGCGAGCGTCACGCGTCAGTAAGCGATGAGGCCATGCGACAAGGGCTATCAAGGCATGCGACATGTGCGCGTGCGTGCGACGGTTGCATGCGTGCTGATGAACATGCGACCACGCGCAGGGGAGCACACGGGCTCAATTGGACCCTCTCGCATGCGCACGCCCAGACAGCGCACGAATGTACCGTGCTGGCGAAATACGTGGGTGGCGAAATACCTTGGTGGCGAAGTAACACGATAAGGGTTGAAGCCCGATGCCCTTCACAGGGCCGCCTTTATTCCCCCTGTTGTCCCCCCCACCCTTGCCTCCGCCCCCGTTGTTCCCCCCTCCGTTGTTTCCCCCGCCGTTGTTTCCCCCGCCGTTGTTCCCCCCGCCGTTGTTCCCCCCGCCGTTGTTCCCCCCTCCTTTGTTCCCAACGCCCTTGTTCCCTCCACCCTTGTTTCCACCCCCTTTCTTCTCTACGCCAATCGGCGGTAGATGCACTTTAAAGCCGAGCGGTCGCCGCGCGGCGCAGGGAGAGGGCAAGGCGAGCGCGAGCAGCGCGAGGAGCGCGACGACGACGCTGGCTGCTCGCAAGCTGGATCGCTGCGACCGGCTCAACGTCGCGACGCCGTGCGACAAGTTGGACCGCGAGCGCGCGACTAAGGATTGGTTTCTAGGCGATGGCGCGGAGCGCAGCATGATGTCGGACGGGCGCTCGCGACGACCATGGCTGCGACGGCAGGGAGCGATCGCCCACCCTTGTGCGACGAGCATCAGCGACGGGGTTGCGACGATGGGGCAGTCGGCATGGGCGCGCGCGGATCGGCGTGGGGAGGGCAGCGACGGGCATGGACTGCGCAGGACGGGCAGAAGACACGGCGAGGCGCGACGCTAAGGCACTACTTGTACGGACTGCCGGTGCATGCGATGTTTGGAATGAGATGGGACGCTAAGGCACTACTCTCGTCAAGCAGCTCTTCGATTCCATTTGGCTTCCACGCTGGTCGACTGACGTACGATGCTAGGACGCGTTGCTTTGAGGGAAAAATCAGGCACGCGTGGGCGACGGCGAGAGTGATGGGAGTCAACTTATTGGGCTGCATGCACCGTCTATTACAGCTAGCAAGGCTCCAGATTATCTCGCTCCGTTAATCAACACAGCGCTAAACGACACTGGAGGGAAGGTTACCAGATTGGGAGGAATGGGGAGTGTCGGTCGGGTAGTGAAGGCATCGCATGTGCTTGCCTGGGAGGTCAGCCTTCCCCGTGACAGACAACCCCTTCGTTTCGCCAGCCTCACTTTAGTTGCCCTTTTTTTTCGGGAAAGTATATCCCAGCTCCTTAGTTCCAGATTTCTCTCAAATTTAGCTCCAGGTTTACTAAAAAAGTACGACTTTCTAGAAGTTTGCTCACGCGAGGCCCAGATTATGTTTCAAAACTGGTCCTGCGGGGCAACATTCTTGACACGTGTCCAATTTCGCCTTGGAAATTTTTGACAGGGGCAAAAAACATAAAATCCCTACGGAACCGGGACACACTTTCGGGAGGGATCAAACCTAAACACCTAGCGGGACCCCGTGTTTAGGGTTGATCCCTCCCGAAAGTGTGACCTGGTTCCCTAGGAATCTTACGTTTTTTGCCCCCGTAAAAAAATAACAATGCAAAATAGGACACGTGTCGAAAATTTTGCCCCGCAGGACCAGTTTTGAACATAATCTGGGCCTCGCGTGGGCAAAAATCGGGGAAAGATCATACAGGGGCCGAACGTGCCAGGAAGGTGATCGAATGAGGACCGAGAGGCCCGGAACTAACCAAACCACTGCACAAAAAGGTATTTGCAAAGGGTTATCATTTATTGAACGTATGTCCGTTAACAGTTTTACATTTCGGCTCGCGCGTCATTTTTCATGGAAATATTTACTGATTCATCACCATTCCACTTAATAGCGTTTTTTAGCAAGCCAGAAACCCTTAGGGCAGCCAAAAACCCTGAAACCCCGAGGGGAACCTGGATGCATTTTTGGAATGGATCAACCCTAAAAACGGGAACCTTCGTTGTGTTTAGGGTTGATGCCTCCCTAGTCGCGTCCATTTCCGAATTGGGTAATATCTTTTTTTTCTGCGCGTTTCCGATCAGAGAGTGATATTTATCACCCATAATGAATTTGTTTTTGGACTCACAAATTAACACAGCAATATTTACTTCCAGAAGTAGGCGATGTGCGCGTAGTAGTAGACGGCGGTCGTAACCAGTGTTTTTAAAAAATCGGAGACGAAGTTTGGTGCTAGTAGCATCTCTCTTTTAGTCACGGTTCGGCTTGTTCGCCTAGCCTCTTGGGCAGCTCGGGGTCGAAATCCTACGGTCGAGATTTTCTGGCCCTACTTCGGTCATCCCTCTGGCACTCCTCGGTCCCAGTTTGATCACTTCCCGAAAAAAATCTATAGACCTGTACTTTCTGAGTGAACTTGGGACTAAATTTGAGAACAGAAACTGGAAGCGCGCCAAGCAGGGAGGCGAAAGCAGCGACGACGTTGCGACAGGTCGTCTATCAAGGGTGGTTGTTTTGGTGCCTTCTGAGAGAAGGACAGTGTGTATGTAACCGAATTCACGAGTATTACTGGCTTCGCCCTGTCGCACAAAACGCCAACCGCACTCGCGAAACGACTTTGTGGTACATCACTTCCCCAACCCAACCCCCCTCCTCTCCCCTCCCCCGCTCCACCGCATGGTCGGCTGGACGACGGAGAGAACCAAGGGGAAAGCACGGATGCGCCGAAGGGTCGGCTGCAGGGCTGCCGCCGACCTCATTTCGGCCTTCTGCCCGACTGCCCCCTCCCTCGGTCCTTCTCCTGCCCCTTCCCCTCGCCTTCACCGTTTCTTTCCTCTCCCCACGTTCCCCTTTGCCTGGACCAAAGTTCGTCGGTTTTGTCAGGTGTGTGCATTTGTGGCGCGACTCGGACGCTGAGACGCATTGTACCGGGGATATCCATATCGTTCGGTTTCGCTACTACTTATTTATTGGGTTGCATAGCAACCCTATATATTTGGTTTGACATTTTGGGGATATCATCTGAGAAGTGGTTTTTAGGCACTTTTTGGAGCACACATTTGAATGTTTGGAACTGTGTTCAAACAGATGCCTCAAATAGTGAATAAAAGCACTCTCAAATGAGATCCCCATATGTGAAACCAAATACCGTACGTATCATGTTGAAACCATGAATTTGCTCGACTGTCCCAGCTCGTCGATAAATACCCGGATGGTACTACTGCCGAGCATAATATTCTGGTATCAACATGCACGAATGCAGTTGTACAAATGAACAAGGTATGAGGTGGACTGATTGCTTCAAAATGAATGTTAAGATGCACCATATAGCAATAGAGGTTGATGGGGTCGTTGAAAGAGAGAAAACCCGCTGCCCCAAAGACGATCAACAACCTCTAATTATTAACATGACACATAGTAACACCACACTTTGAAACACACACCCCACAAACACAAATGCAAACATTCGTTGAAGGGTACAACACCACACAACGTTTGTGAACGGGTCGAAGTGGGTGCTCAATATACACCAATGCTGCAACTGTGATTGATCGGGTCGTTGGAACAGCGAAAACACGCTGCCCCAACGACGATGACAACCTCAGATCACAAACACGATGCATACCAGCACAACAACCCTCTGTGAAACAACCAATTGACATGAACACACCCGCACAAACTGACCCGCACAAACTGACCCACACGAACTGACCCGCACACGCATGCATACACAATTAGGATTGAGAGCAGGCATGCATAACGAGGAGTTGCAATCAATTCATTATGCTTTAATCACTTCTAGCTTGTCCCCCCTTCCTCCCTCTTTCCGCCTTCCCTCCTCTCCCTCTACCATCAAAATCTCCTCCCACCCTTTTCCACGTTGTCTTCTCTCTCGAATTCCCCTCCTTGCTCCCCACAATGCGTCTTGCACACCTTGCAAAACAAACAGGTCACGTAAAAATGAATTGTCGTCGGAGAACGCAGTAAATTACTCAATGACGAGCACATACTTGATCGTGAAATGGAACTTGATAAGCACGTACGTGTTGAAATCTGATAAATACAAAATGAAAGTACTGATTAACATTGATACAAAGCAGAAATGAAACGCAAATCTTGCAACGAAAGAAACCGAATTTGACAACTCACAAGCGTCGTTTGAAACATAGATCCCCTGAGGTCACGCACACCACGCTGGTGTGCAGCAAGGCTCCAGCGAGCAACGAGCTGGGCATCGCCATGCTACAGGGCGCCAGAGAGTTGCAGCAAGGCACCAGCAGGCTGAGAAGAGAAGCGGGCTGCCGTAGCAAGGCCTGAGCACACGGCAGCAAGGCGTGAGCTCACTGCAGCAACGCGTGAGCTCACTGCAGCAAGGCGTGAGCTCACTGCAGCAACGCGTAAGCTCACTGCAGCAAGGCGTGAGCTCACTGCAGCAACGCGTGAGCTCACTGCAGCAAGGCGTGAGCTCACTGCAGCAAGGCGTGAGCTCACTGCAGCAAGGCGTGAGCTCACTGCAGCAGCGCGTGAGCTCACTGCAGCAACGTGTGAGCCCACTGCAGCAAGACGTGAGCTCACTGCAGCAAGGCGTGAGCTCACTGCAGCAAGGCGTGAGCTCACTGTAGCAATGCGTGAGCCCACTGCAGCAAGGCGTGAGCTCACTGCAGCAAGGCGTGAGCTCACTGCAGCAACGCGTGAGCTCACTGCAGCAACGCGTGAGCTCACTGCAGCAACGCGTGAGCTCACTGCAGCAAGGCGTGAGCTTACTGCAGCAAGGCGTGAGCTCACTGCAGCAAGGCGTGAGCTCACTGCAGCAAGGCGTGAGCTCACTGCAGCAGCGCGTGAGCTCACTGCAGCAACGCGTGAGCCCACTGCAGCAAGGCGTGAGCTCACTGCAGCAAGGCGTGAGCTCACTGTAGCAATGCGTGAGCCCACTGCAGCAAGGCGTGAGCTCACTGCAGCAACGCGTGAGCTCACTGCAGCAACGCGTGAGCTCACTGCAGCAACGCGTGAGCTCACTGCAGCAAGGCGTGAGCTTACTGCAGCAAGGCGTGAGCTCACTACAGCAAGGCGTGAGCTCACTGCAGCAACGCGTGAGCTCACTGCAGCAAGGCGTGAGCTTACTGCAGCAAGGCGTGAGCTCACTACAGCAACGCGTGAGCTCACTGCAGCAAGGCGTGAGCTTACTGCAGCAAGGCGTGAGCTCACTACAGCAAGGCGTGAGCTCACTGCAGCAAGGCGTGAGCTCACTACAGCAAGGCGTGAGCTCACTGCAACAAGGCGTGAGCTCACTGCAGCAAGGCGTGTGTCAGAATCCCAACCACTAGACCATTGGGATAAAAGGGCTTGTTAAGTAGCGGGTCAGTGCGCCCATAACCCCCCAGGACAACGTGTCAGATTTATATGACATAGTTTCTGTAGGCTTTAGTGGGGTAGCACATATGGGGTACAGGGTTTCTAGGGTTGTATTTGTACCCAATCTTCCATAGTCATTTCATTCCTGTTTTCCTTGTTTCACATGGTATAGAGCGGGTCCTACCTTAGGACCGTTTTTTTAGGGCCCACCGAAGCGCGCCCCGAGGCGCGCCTTTTTTTTAGCGACCCCTCGGGTCGCCTTTTCCCTCGCGGCCCCGCTGTCCCTCAGACGCGGCCCCGCCACCTCTCCTGATCGCGGCCCCGCCGCCTGTTTGACGCGGCCCCGCCGCCTCCCCTGACGCGGCCCCGCCG